ACACACACACACACACACACGCACACGCACACGCACACGCACACGCACACGCACACGCGCATGCGCACGCGCACGCACACGCACACGCACACGCACACGCACACGCACACGCGCACGCACACGCACACGCGCACGCACACGCACACGCACATGCGCGCACGCACGCGCGCGCACACGCGCGCACACGCGCACACGCATACGCACACACGCACGCACACGCACACGCACACGCGCACGCACACGCACACGCACACAGACACACACACACACACACACACACAGACACACACACACACACACACACCCGCGCGCGCACACCCACCCACCCCCACACACACACACACACAGTCACACCCACCCACCCCCACACACACACACACACACACACACGCACACACCCACTCAATCACTCACTCACTTACTCACTCACTCACTCACTCACTCACTCTCTCTCTCTCACACACCGACACGCGCACGCCTACGCACACGCAAACGCACACGCACATGCCACGCACAGGCACACGCACACGAGCTTATGCGGATCTGAGGCAAAGGCTCAAACCCTTCAGCCAAAGGAAAAGGCAAGGGCAGCAAAGAGGCGAGGTCGAGAGATGAAGTCTGTTTGTCGGTCCTGCCAGTCCAAGTTTACAGTGTTTTAATATCTCCGAAGCGGGAAAAACGTGAATGACCACGGCACCGGTCTGCCAGGCCAAAGAGCGAGAGGAAGGCAAAGCCAAAGGAACGGCCCCGTTTGGACGGAGAATGCACTGGGCACCTTGGACTCTCTTCACAGTGTTCTAAGCTTGAACGCTTCAACAGCAGGTGCCGAAAGCCGTGCCCGAATGTTGGCTTGTCCGCATACTGAGGTGCGGCCCCAATACCAGCAACCTGAGCACGACACTGTCTTTGGCGATGCAGAAGCTGCGTGTGAATTGGATACGGATGCATTAGCATCCCTGCTTAACGGCGCCTCAGCACGGAACAGGTTCCAGTGCGCTGCCACCAACATGACTGTGAGGACATGCTTCGCGATGCTCGTTGGGCTGGGGTACCAGCACTGCGCCGAAGACACGACTCTCACACCACAAGAAAAGTGAAGGGATAAAGGCCGGCGGCTTTGCATTTGCGGTGCTCGGAATTGAGTGCTTGATAGCGTTCCATGCATCAGCCAAACCCTCAATTGGCTGTGCAAGGTTCTCGATGCTTCAAGAGCACACAACGTCGGCATCGTTCTGAGCAAGCTTCCAGCGTCGTCCGAGGACGTGTGCGACGCGTTCAGGACGCTTGATTTTTCTCGGCTTGCACTTTCAGATGACATGGTGGAGCTGCTGACAACTGTACTCCCGACGCCAGAAGAATCGCAAAAGCTACAGAGCCACAANNTTGTGGCTCTGTAGCTTTTGCGATTCACAAGGATTGTCCCGAGCGTTTGAGGGACATCGAGCGGAAGGTCCTGCCTTTCTGCTTTGTGCCCCGGGCAGCTGCTCGCTTGAGATTTTTTCGTTTTGCCGCTTCGCACACCGAAAGCGCAGCAGGGTATCTGCAACGGTGTCGCACCCTTGATCTGGCGGCGATGGAAGTCAAAAGCAGCCAAGAGCTGCGGAAGGTCATGGCTCTGATTCTGCGCATCGGCAACTACATCAACCATGGAATAAAGGACATGGGTGGCGGTGCCTGTGCTTTCTCCATTGAGACATTAGCTGCCATTACGAGTTGGCAGCATGTCCACTCTCCAGTTTCTCTGCGTGACCTTTCGCCGAGCAAATCCCGGTTTTCTTGACGCCTTACAGCTGAGTCTGAAGAATGTTCCGGAGGCGGCCAGGGAGAAGAGCGTGCATCTAAAGTCCTGCATCCAGGCCTTCCAGAAAGAAGTTGACTTCGCAGAAAAGGAGGTGTCCTTAATGCCGGAGGATCAGCTTGCTTCAGAGGTCACGAGCAGACTTCTGCAAGATTTGCATGCAGAAGCTCTTGAGTTGGAGACCTCACTGGCGAAAGCATTTGGTAAGTGCGACGAGGTGCCAGAATACCTTTGCACACACGAGGACAAGGCAAGCGATGCGGCTCCACCTCCCTACGAGAATTTGTTCTTGCACCTGTCCGACTGCCTTGCGTCCTTTCGGAAAGCGTGGAAGGAGACGGAACCTGTTCCCGGAACCTTCGCAAAGCGAAGACCGGGACTTCGAGTTTGAAGCCCAGGTTGCGAAGCAACGGCCTCTCGGGAACCCCGAGTGCTGCACCCCAAGGGACGAGCAGCCATCAAGGAGGCACACGCGAGAAAACGAGGCATCTTGCCATCTACTTCTTTTTGACGTATTCTGCTGATACATGGGGGTTTTTTGAAGATCATTCCCATGAACACTTCAATCACGGTCGCGCCAAAAGCGGAGGCTACGATAAGATCATGATAATGAGATTTTGGGACACCCTTAGCTTAATAAATATGCAGCAGACATAGCCAAATCTGAGAATATCTCTCGATAAGAAAGATAATTCTTTTGAACCCGAATATATTGCTTCCGGATTCTATCTATATTGAGGAATTACTTTCGACTTACTTTAAAATACTTTAGTCGAAATAGATATGTAATACTCTGTCGATATAGATTTTCTTTCTCTTCTTTTAATGTTCTGAATTCTTATATTATCTGCTGCTATGGATGGAATAATGCGTCTGTTATATATAATATCGTTTATTTATTTAGCGTCTAATAAATAAGGTATCGCGACGATTAGATTGGTGATTATATTTATTATTATTATAATATTTATAGATGAAGTTATAAAAGATATATTCTATTTAGAATAAACATCTTATTTTTCAAATTTTCTGTCACCTCTTCTTGGATGGGAAATTTTGATTATATATTTTTAGCTTCTCGTATGGAATCGGCCTATTATGCTATGTCTGATAATATTGAAGAGCATGCAGATATGGAATTGGTTTTGCCGATCGTTATTGATATTTTCTAAATAATAATTCTAATTTTTTCTATCTTATTCTATAGAAGAAATATATCGGTTTAGACATAAGATATCTTAGGCCAAAGATGAGATTTGTGATTTTCGAATAAAGACGCGATAGATTATAGACGTAGATCTATAGCAATTCTAATTCTTCTTCCAAGAATTCCAAGAATCTTATATATTATTATTCCTAGAGAAAGGCCGACAATCATTCACTTATTTGTATCTATAGATATCCCGACTAATAGTAATCCTTTCATTTAAGAATGAATAGAGATATTAATAATGGCATATTTCTTTTATAGATATAAATTATTGAATAATTCGACGAGATCTTGGACGGCATATCGGTATTATATAAGGCTCATTACTCCTCGTAGACTACTCCTCCTCGTAGATTATCTCGCCAACAATAGAATAAGGAAATATTATTTTTGGAGTCTGCACACAGGGGTCTTTAGCTGAATTATAAAAATATTTCCGTCGCTTCCCCATAACTAATAGGTTCTTCCTCTCTATGCATCTGTCTGTCTCTATGCCTGTCTCTAGATTTATCTATATATCTATTTGAATATCAGTCTGTGCGTATGCCCATACGAATATTTCTGATCTATCTATGGGTCTGTCTATATATTTGATATTATATTTATCTATATATTTATCTATATCTGAGAGGAGGTATCTGCATATTTATATATATCTGAAAAATATATTAATATAAAAGATCCATGTTATTCCTAGGATTTTTCCTGAATCCAGTATAATCGACCCTGTTTGTAGAGACGGATATGTTCGTTGCTAGGATTTGTCGTGATTTCGTAGGAAGCATGTCCGACCCTGCTCGATATCGGCTATAACTCGAAAAAATTGCTTCAGACTCATCAACCTAAGCACCTTGCTATAGACCTTGGCGATCTAGGAGGAACCCAGGGGCTCATATAGGTAATCTATTTTCATGAACCGCGCGTTCTCCATCTGAATAAAGGAACTCCCTCATTTAAATTAAAAATCAAGTGGTGCAAGCACGCATTCTATATTTTATCCAGCAAAGCGGCAAGCCGTGCCTATTTTGATTATCTATATCCGTGCGTGCAGTTTTGGATTTCAACTATTTTTCTGCCAGATATAACTAAGTCCCTAAATCCTACACCCTGAAGTCAATATTATATATATATATATATATATATATCCTTTTTTGTATATATATCTAATCTATATGTAGGCGTATATAGGTATTTGCTTTTGAGATATATATATAAATATGAATCAAATATAAATTATAAATATAAGTAAANNTATTTATTTATTTGATGCGAGCAATCGAGGGAATACTGACCTATATTCTGAATCATAAATAGGCACTTGGAAATAAAATCATTATTCGAGTTTTTCTACTTATTTCATGATATATTTATTTATCTACCTATTTATTATTGAAATATTAATTCGTCAAATTCTTTTTTTTAATTTCATTATTATGATGATTCATATTCGTATATTATTTCTTATATGTAGATATTTTTATTAATTCTGATCCTTATGACACTTAAACTTTAAAAAATTGGACGCACATATATACAATATATACAACACGTAAACCAATATACTCCAGATTAAATATTCTAATAATATCGCATAATTGAATTATCTTCCTTGGTATTTATATATATATTTAAAATTTATTCATTTATTTTTCTTTTAATTGATCTTCATATTATATTTTGCTTTCTCCTAGTCATAGAGCTATAATTCGAATATAATAAATTCATATATGTATCCCTTGTTTGTTCTCTTTATTTTT